TCAATTTATGTATTTTTCCCCCATAAATCACTCTGATACTAATGTCCAGCTGGCCCTTTATGTTTAAATGCGAAATGCCACTATCACATAAGATTAGACAGCAAAGATGAGAAAAGTATCACACAGCTTTCAAGACCGGCATACTGAATAGGTAGTTTTCATGCCTTTGTTTTTCAATTGGCATAGAGAGGTCCAGACTGCCACAAGACTCCCTCTGGTTCTAGCTGTATTTGAATGAAGATTAGAATGAAAACTGTTGAACTTAGAGCAGATGAAACAAACTGAAGGCCTAACGGAAATCCAAAACAAACAGAACTGTTCAAAACTGCATCTAATTTTAATATTCTTTGAAGGACAGCTTTGATAGTTAAGACTTCACTGAAACAGTTTTATTTGGTTAAATAAAAGAGATAACAGAGTAACCAAGGAATGAATACATGCAAAAAATCAGTATCAAAATCAAATAAACGTCAATAGTCTTGGTTCATTTATAGGCTATAGTACTGCCTCTGCCTTCTAAGGTGTCAATACAAATCACTTCAATTAGGCCCAGGTAAGCCCCTCCGGGGAAATAATCAGATCTGTCTTCTCATCGTGGACAAATCAATCTAATAATAATGTTTTTGCTTCCTGCTCCAAAATTAGCGTTCTGCTGGATCAGTCAGCTAAAGTGACTCATCCTGCAACCCATGACTTGAGCATAATGCAAGGAAAACCGTGCCAGAGTGTGGGAAAGGATGGGGGGAAAAACAGAACTCTTCTTTATACCTTTTTCTAATTTCTGAGGTTCAGCTTAAAGTCACTTCACAACAGGTTTCAGCTAGAATGAAACAATCTATCCAAACTGAAATAAAAGCATCTGCTCCGACATATGTTCACCTGTAATTCAGTTTGCTAAAACACTACCATTTACTTAAAAAAACCCATACAATTTTCCTGTACATACAGCCATACGGACATGTAAATATGTACATCAGTACATATTTGTACTGATATTGATACAGTTGAGTTTGGAAATTGATTGCATTCTTTGCTGCAATGAGACAGCTGAACCAAAGTCTTTCAACCTATCGTCAAGTTCTTCCAGTACCTGAATGGCTGCATTATGATCCTGAGCAGCTTCAAGTTCTTTATTTTTCTCATTCAGTGACTTCAACTGTTCATCTGTTGGATAAGAAGAAATAGTAGTGAGGGATCTCCACTGTAACATAATGACAGAATTCACTCTCCAAATGCAATTAAGCCAAAATTTCCCTTAAAAACATTAAAAAAAAAAAAGAGAAAGAAGAATTCAAGACTTCACTATGGACGGACTAGGTAGTATTGTGGCAAACTAATGCAATCCTTAGAGCAGAGGCATTTATTGTGAAGATCAATACATAACCCACTGTACTACTACTGCTACAAAAATCAGAAAGCAAGCAGTTTTCTTCCATTAGAACAAAAATTCCATGAAAAAAAACCCGACTTGGAACACAAAAGCAAAACATCTCTCTACTTGCAGAAATAACAAATGTAGTTGATGGATGGATTTTTAGCTCCTATTTAAAACTTAAAGCATTTCAGCATAACATTGGACTAAAGAATGAATATCCTGTCCAATCTTAAGAATGTGCAAAAAACTTACGAAGTTTTTTAAGCTCCTCACGGAGAGTTTGACATTCTTGTGTCTCATTTACAAGTCTCTCCTGACTTTGAGCCAGACGCTTTTCTACTTCAAAGTATTGTTGTTCTGCAAAATAACAATGTTATCTCAATTTCACTTAATAAGCATTTCTTTTTCTTTCTCACCTTTATCAAGGATCCTTATTAATGGACATCTTTATGACAGAACGGTATTTATAAAGAAAATATCTAAACACAATAAGACTACAGTAGAATTTGAAGAAAAAAGGATTTTTGAAGGCTAAAAGATGCATTTCCACATTGAATTAACATTGTTTAAAATATTTTGTTAGCATGGAAAGCGATAGGTTTCCAGAAATAATCCATAAAATAACAGCCTAATTAATTTAATAGTTCTTTAAAGTTTTTGATGTAGCTAGAGAACATTGTGTCAGCACAATTATGCAGTGTGGTCTCATCAACTTAAAACTTCTTTTACCTGTAGCATATTTCTATACACAGACAATAAAATCCACATAACTCTAGGTATCAAGAGATTTGATTTAGAAAATTTTTAATGAACACTTCTTAAATTGAACTGTTGTGCTCCATGGTGCATATCCCATAGCACTGAAAAAATAATTAGATCTAAGTTTTGGTTATCTGACCCAGTAACTGTGTCATAGAGCTTAACTGTAAAATGCTTAGTGAAAGCAGAACTAATCTTACTCTCAGGTATAGTGGGCTTCTAAGAAAGTACTGAGGGACTTTTATTTATCTTATGCTTCCTATCAAATCTTACAATTTCAAATAATGTTGCCCCTCCAGCCACACAAGAAAAACAGACCTGAAAGAGACTAACCTGCCAAAAGTTGTGGGTTGCTTTAATTTCCACTACACTTTCCTTTAGCAAGTTTTTTATCGTGAAAGAGACAGAAAGGTTGAAGGAAAGGTGGAAGTAAAGTTCACATCAGAAGTATGTCACCTACCCAATAAATTAACTAATACTCACAACCTTGCCCGGCGCTTACACTCATCTACACTCTTTTCACTTCTACTCCAGTTCTCTACTGGAGATCACATTTTCTGTGATCAAGCAACCTCCAAATCAAAACGCTGATTCTATCAGGAGCGTTTTATAGAAAGGTTATGATCTCCAACGTGGAATTCAACAGAAAAATGCTAAGGCTGTTTGCAAGTTGGGTAAACAAATCATTATTTCTCTTCCACAACAAGGATCAAAACAGACTGAGGCATATCAATGCTCATTAAAAATCTAATGAAAAGCTGTTCTTTAAGCCCATTTTGAATGCAGTTTTAACCCTGAACAGTCCTTTGCAAAAGAAAAAAATAAATCAGACTCCTCTTGCCAAGCAAAAGTGAGAGAAAAAACCCTCTCAGGTCTCAACTGAAGGGCCCCTTCCCAGCCAACGGACACGCCCCCCGCCTCAGGGCCCCGTCCCAAGCAGAGGATGCACACACCCACCTCACAGGCCCCAGGTCACCCCCTGAAAGCGTTTCGAAGACGACAGCGACCAGTCAGGCCCAGCCCTACCTCCCTCACTCCTCTCATCAGAGGGGACCACGACATTACTACTCGCTAAAAGCGCGTCGGAGGAGGGGACACCCGGCCTAACCCCAGCCTACCCGTCTGCAGCCGAGCTGCCGGCCTGCTGCCTCTGCCCGAGCACCGGGACGAGCGGATAACCCTCAGCTCTTGGGCAGCGCAGCTCCCTCCGCACGGAGCAGCCCGGGGCCTGCCCCGTTTCCGCTGCCCCCTCACCTCCATCCCCGCTCTCCCAGCTTCCCCCTCCCCGGACTCACCGCTGTCCACCTTAAAGCGCTCATGCCTGGCTCGGAGCCCGTCGATCTCGCTCTGCTGATCGGCCAGGAAGCGCTCCAGCTTCCCCTGCCCCGGCTTG